AAATCTTTAGCCACACAAATCTCAGTTTGAATATACACTATGTGCACACAATCTACTAGCCTGACACGCCACCTGCCAGTACGCACACCTTCTCCGCTGAACGATTATCCGCGCGTGTGTCCCACGGCACCAGCCCTTTGTTTGTGACCACCAACGCTACCAGCAAGTCTTTGCACTCGTTCCAGTACACTAGTGTTCGATTCTGTGCGTCTGCGACGGCCTCTACATACCGACTCATATCCTGTTCCAGAGTCTTCGCCTGGCGCGATAGTTGCCGAGGGAAAGATATATCATATTAGCATGTTTACGCAACTACTGTTTTCTAGAACGTATGTTTGACTTGGGGTCGAATACTGTGAGATCATATACTGTGAGATCATACATTGCATACGAATTTTCTACGAGACCATAGAACACACACGGAACACACATTGGAAAAACAACGTCTCCTGGTATGCCCATGGTTCACCGACCACTCTGATATAACTCTATTCTAAAAATAGAACACACCTGTCGCATGGTATGCGCATGGATCACCCAGTACTCTGCAAGGCTGAGCTGTGCACCAATCAAATGAATGGGATGCGCCGTCAGTCGTAGTAGTTCCGATAGGGCCCATTCGGCGTCGTTGCGAATGGTCTGCAGATTACTGCTTATCGAGCCATTGCTGTTGATTATTATTTTTTGGACAGAAACAGAGAGGAAAGTAAGAACAAAATAAATATTTTAGGTTTGGTAAGGACTAAAAAACTTGGTTTTCAAGACGTCCTCCAAGACCAAACGCTTCTCATACCCGCACATGGCGAGGACTGTCTCGGCCGCACAGCCCTGTACTACCACCGGTACAAAGATCATCTCCAGAGTGGTGCGGGTCAGTGCTTGCACACATTTGGCCGCTCTAACCTCATCGCCAGCTGCAACGTACAGCTCCATTGCTGTGCGCAGGCTCTCGGCACTCACTGCGAGCATCTCTTGAACGCTCAGGTGGTCGTAGAGGTCGGTTACTCTGGTGTCTGCTGCAGGGTTAGATGGTGGTACGCTGAGTTAGGGTTGGTTGTAACATACGTATAGGCTTGACCCACATACACACACGTAACGACAATAGCTTTGATTTGTACGGTATCGTACGTCATGTGCAGACCACAACAGCACAGGGGGAATAGAGCTTGAGAAGACTTTCAATTTGTCCTGATGTCCAAGTATTGGATACGCATTGCCTGTGCTAGGTTGTCTGTGCACCGGAGAGTAAACGAAAGCCTACGATCGTACTATTGACTTCCGTGCGAGGGACTCATATGCGATGTACATGGTGTTTGTGCGTGTTCTTATGGAGTTTGTGTGTGTTCTTCTGAAGTTTGTGTGTGTTCTTATGGAGTTTGTGTGTGTGCTTATGGCGTTTGTGTGTTATGGAGTTTGTGTGTGTGCTTATGACGTTTGTGTGTTATGGAGTTTGTGTGTGTGCTTATGACGTTTGTGTGTTATGGAGTTTGTGTGTGTGCTTATGGCGTTTGTGTGTGTTCTTGTGATGTGCGTGTGTTTAAAGTGCCTGCGTCAAGAATAACGAGAGTATGCTGTTTCGTTGAGTACGTATCGACATGTCTGTGATTGCTGTATGTTTGTGTGTGCCTGCCAGATCAATGAAATGCCCGATGCATATGCATATGTACGTATAGCTCAGATATGTCGGCACCTGACACAAGCGTATGTGTGCTGGTATCAAATCTACGCATACAAGGCGCGTCTACATGCTGTGTGCTTGCGTCATCCACACCAGACGGTAAGACATGCGCGCCCATTCAAACTCATCCCCTACAGATCTCCCACACACCACACGTAGTGCCGGTGCACACACACACACACCTAGACCCATACACCCACCACCACCGCTCGTCAAGGCCCATTTGCGCAGGGCCGTCCCCTTTCGCTTCAGTATCTTCATACGCACCGCATTCATCCCACCCGCGGCACCGCACACACTCAACAGCGCGTCGCACGTGGCCACAGCCCGTCCCCACTCGCCCGCCAGCATGAACACCTTGACTAGCAGTGACTGCGACTTCATCCAACGCTGCGATTGAACGGTGCGTGGCATTGGTTTAGGGCGTTCACCGACAAGGCACTGTGTGCAGTTGCTGTGGCGGTAGACGTCTTGAGAGCCGATGAGAAGGAGTGACATGGCCTCGCGTAGCCATCGCTTACGCATGAAGCACAAGGCAAGAGTGTGCTTGACCTGAGAGGGGTGGGGGAATGGAAGGTGTATTTCAGACAATGTGTGTAGCTCAGTATTAATGACGATGATATATA